CCGGTGGCTTGCTGGCTCATGTTTTGGGACCACTGGGTCAGGGGCAGTGACTTCTGGCTCTGGGCTGGCAGGCTTGGAGCTGACACAGACACTGTAGCCAGAGTCTACCTCTTTATGGGCTCCGAGGAGTGGGGGAGGGAGAGAAGTGTTCTTGGTTGAGGCCGGAGTAGCCACCAGGGCACCCTGGGAAGGCTGGAAGCCCCCTATTTCGAAATAAGTGTCTACACAGCACTTATTTCGAAATAGCTATTTTGAATTTGGCGTTATTCCTCATAGAATGAATTTACCAAATTCAAAATAAGCACTCCGCTATTTTGAATTTATTTTTAAATAGTTGTTAGGTTGTGTAGATGCTAGGAAAGTTATTTCGAAATAACTTTGCTGTGTAGACATACCCTAAAAGTGTCCATAAAAGCTACGTCTACACTACAGGGTTTTTGCGCAAAAACCTGCAGAGCATTCACACCTCAAGTTCATTTTAGTGCACATAAATTTACAGTAAATCAAAAGAACAGAGGGGGTTTTGCAGTGTAGGTATTCCTCTTTCTACAAGGAATACCTCCTTTTTGTGCAAGAGTTCTTATGCAAAATATATGTGTGGATGGGCAACAGAGGGTTTTTGCACAAAAAGAGCCAATTGAAAAAAGCACAGGTGCTCTGGTGGCTATTTTGTGAATAGCAATCAGAGCTTTCTTTCAAGATAGCGTCCATGCAGTCTGATTGCTCTCTTGTGCAAGTTTTTGCTGAAGATCTCTTCTGCAAAAAGCTTCTTGCACAAGAAGCCTGTAGTGTAGACGTAGCAAAAGACAGCTAGTGCAGAATAACTATTTCCACAAAGGCTACGTCTAGACTGCAAGCCTCTTTCAAAAGAGGCTTTTTCGAAAAAACCCTGCAGTCTAGACACAGCCAAAGAGACAACTGGAGAGAGAGAGAGATGTAATTTGACCCCACATCTTATGCCAAGAGCTGTAAAGAAAGCGGTATAAAGAGTAGTTGGATTGACACCAACAAAGGGAAATCTCCACACAATCAGATGAGCCAAGTTTGTGGTCCCTTTGCTTCATTGGGACTACAGTGTACAGGGGAATCCATCTTGTAGATATTTATTTTTAGGAGACACCATCCATTTAAAATACAGCCAATTTGAAAAAAAATAGAGCTTGAAAGCAGTTTCAGATTTTAGACTTGATGATCAGTCTGCCTCCCAATTTTCTGAGGTTAACAATC